ATTATTATAATATACAACATTAGCTAGATATTGCGCGATATATGCACAGTTACATAATCTGAAATTGGATATTTTTATGGAGCTCAATGATATATTATTCTCTGAAATAGTTAACTGATCGCAGCCTCTACGATGTAATAACATTGAATTTTGCGAGATATACTTTATTGGCGTAAGTAGGTTAAGCAACGCACAGGTATTTAATGTCCGTAAACTAAAAAATCTCTTTGATGGATGATAGTGAATCGCAGACAATCTATCGATGTGCCTTGAAGTATAAAAACTCGTGAAAAGGTCACAACACAGCGCCGCCGCGCCGCTTCCTCGGTCTGTCGCACCAATTACTAAAAGGCAATTACTAATTAAGTAGCTATTTACTATCGCAAAAAGAAATTCCCTGTTTGGGTACTGTAATTAATGAAAGTAAGTCGAAGGTTAGAAAAAAAGAAACTAATATTCGTTAGTATTCCATATAAAAAAGTATGCACATATTTTGAATATTCCAGCTTTTAACGCGGTCTTGCCCTGGGACAGCGAAGTAGAATTTACCAAGATTTTTCTTAAGAGCTGGTGAAACTTTTTGTGTCGGATTATATTTGCTTGGTTTTTCTTTATCGTTAAGAATGAAATGAATGGACCGTGAAACGCAGCCGTCTTTACTGGCTTTTTTATTGAACTGTCAATAAGTCTAATTACTTACCTTATCATTTATAACGAATAACCTTTTTTAAAAGGTTCTACATTGAAAAATAACAATTAATCTTCATGTTATATAAACCTAAGGCATAAGGCATGAGATAAGGTAAGATATAAACCTAAGTATTTAATCATAGAACGTAAAAAAGCCTAATTGTAAAGAAAGTCACACTGCAAAATATGATTTACTAAAATTCTTTAATAATTATTATTATAATTATGTACTGTAATTGATTAATATTTAAATTGGTACATAAAATCTAATTAGCCTAAGAGATCCGCAGCATGGCTACTAATAATTGTGTTCTTACTATATAAGTTAATCTAATATTATATTAAGTGCTTACCTATTTAATTTAAAATTCTGGATTAAAAGACACTGCATGAAACAACAGTCAGTTAAGAATCTTTTTAAAAACAAAAAATGATCTGTTCTTTACTAAACTTTGAATACGGTAGGTATATGTACCTTATTTACATATCAATGTAATTTTGACCGCATTTTTAACGTACTCATCTCACTAATTTACTAATATAGTTACTCCGACGACGAGGTAATTATGAGATTATACGTGTCAAGTCAGATTATCTGTTTAACTAGTGGTGAAATTAATCCTTGGATAAAATTCCTCAAACATGGAATTTCTTTTGAAGTTCTTCGTGCCATTTTCGAATGACCTTCAAGGTTAAAAGTTTATCTAGTAACATTTTGAACCTTTATTGTTATCAAAGACTCCATATTTCAAATTTTATTACAACAATCATAAAATCACAAGTAATGTCAAGAATACTTGTCGTGACCATTGTTGTGTGAATTATCACAGAACTGCTTATTGGCAACTCTTAAGAATGGTCAATGATTTATCAATAATAACAATTCTAAATTATATGACAGTCATGTTAAATTGGTCAAAAATGTTTTATCCAGTTTTCTCCATCGAATGGCCCTGGATTAGTATTATTTTTTTGCTTAGATTGGTGGACGAGCTCACAGCCCACCTGGTGTTAAGTGGTTACTGGAGCCCATAGACATCTACAACGTAAATGCGCCACCCACCTTAAAATATAAGTTCTAAGGTCTCGAGTATAGTTACAACGGCTGCCCCACCCTTCAAGCCGAAACGCATTACTGCTTCACGGCAGAAAGAGGCAGGGTGGTGGTACCTACCCGCGCGGACCAGTAAAAACGAACTTTTATTGCTTTGATTGACAAACAAGCGTGAAAATCACCTGCCCTTTGCTATAAAATTATTTATTGGTTAGAGGAATTAAATGATATCTATTAATCTCGCTCAGCTATTAGGAGACACGGGTATGTGACTCTGGTCTACGCGAATTACGGCTTCCACTTGGTTGTCATCCGGCCGTTTAATATAAGCAGCATTATTCTCTTATTATCCTAACTCTTTTATTCATCACGGGTAAAAAAAATCTACCAACTACTTTGGGACATATTTAGGACAACTATTTTACTGATTTAATCTCATTTCATTACATTCACGTGGTGTCTGTATGCTTCTGTGACCACTTAATATCATATAAGTCGCGTGCTGATATGTCCATCTTAACAGACTACGCTCTTTTTAAATGTACTACCTATCTAAGTACTATGTTTTATTTTAGGTTTGTAATAAAATTGTATTAGGTATATTATGTTTATAATTATTAGACGATAATTCTTACCTATTTTATAGATAATTTCATTATTTTTTTCAAATTATTTATTTTTCTTCTATTAATTTACAAATTGTTTAGTTTTATTTAATTCACTAACACATAATATTATATATCATGTTAATGTGTCGAGAATATATCATATGTATGATACGTATGATATATTCTCGACACAGTTTTACACAATTTAATTGAAAGCTACAAAGATATATTTTTTTCATCTAACAGAATTTTAGATTTAAAAAAACTGGAAATAGATCGGCAGCGACACAAATCTTTTTAGTCGAACAATATTTGTTTTATAATAGGACTTTAGTATATACAGGTATTCATGTAAGGGAAAATACAACAGTCAGTTGTGAGAAAACTTGTCCTGCAACAGTGACCAAACAAGTTGCCATAGTTGTAATGCCGGCCACTGACATGCGCGCAAATATTTGTACATTGTACGAATGTTTGCGCGCATGTGAAGGGCCGTCAAACATTCATTCGCAAACCTAGTGGCTGTGCAAATGGGTTCGCAAATTGAGTATGCGAACCCGTTTGCGCTTCCTCCTACACTTGTTTACGAATGTCTCACGAATTTCTCCTCCTTTTTAGTTCGTCAATAGAACATTGAAGAGAAAAAGAGTTTTGAATTCTTTCCCAGACATCATTAACAGCCATGCTGTTTTTATGGGATTTCTTTTGATGAAGATGCGATACACAGTAGACATCACGAACTATGAAAATGGCGATACGTCCGTTACCTTCGCAATGGTCGGCGCAACTGGGCAAACGAATGTGTGGGAGACTACGCGAAGGTTCGCGGTTCGCGCGCTTTGATGTCTGTTAAAAAACCGACACAGCTTGGAAAACCACGAATGCAGCGAAAACTTCGCATAATCATTTGCAAATGTCGTCCTACACTTGCGGGTTTGCGTATTCGTGCGCATGTGAGTGACCGGTGTAATACTAATGATTCCTGATAAACAATGACAGCTTTCAAATGTAAATTTAATATATTAATCAGTAATTGTCAATTACGTGTTTTCTATATTTTTAAAATTCAATTTAAATAGGTTCGCGTAAACCTTTTTTTATTGCTTAGATGGGTAGACGAGCTCACGGCCCATCTGGTGCTAAGTGGTTACCGGAGCCCATAGACATTTACAACGAAAATGCGCCACCCATCTTGAGATATAAGTTCTAAGGTCTCAGTATAGTACAACGGTTACTCCACTCTTCAAACCGAAACGCATTACTGGTTCGCGGCAGAAATAGGCAGGATAGTGGTACCTACCCGTGCGGACTCACAAGACTCCTACCACCAGTAAATACGCAAATTATAATTTTTGGGAGTTTGATTTTTATTATACGATGCTATTCCTTCACCGTGGAAGTCAATCGTGAACATTTGTTAAGTAAATACATATTTCTGTAGAAAAATTGGTACTTGCCAGCGGGATTCAAACACCGTTGCATCGCTAGATACGAATGCACCGGACGTGATCGATTCACCGCACCGGATTCTTTAGGCCACGACGACTTCAAACCTGTGACATTCTCAACAAAGCTAGCCTACCACGGCGCCCTAAACTTATCGCAAGTAATTAAATAGTATACTTATGTGTGTAATAGCTTTGTAAAAATCGTTAAATGTCATAATATCCGTTCGATTAAAACCAAAATAGTCCCAAAATCAGATTTTAGTAATTTTATTCTATTGTAGGACTTCATTTTCCCACTTACATTTTATCATGTGACATGTGTGATGTTCATGGTTAGCGATGTATTACTTATATGTAGTGATATGCCATAAATCAAGTGACGATATAGAGGCCATGCGGCGCGGGCGTCTAAGCTCATCCAGTCTACATAATTACGCAGCGCGATCATGCATCATCTATGTAAGCGCTAAGGGTGCTTATTTCTTGATCGTGAATAAAATTGTTATGATGAAGATATTGAATGATATGAAAATTATTCCACCGCAACTCAATAAAAGATTCTCTAATTTATTGTAAACTGTTAGTAGATTTCTGCGTTTGTCCTTGTATTAACACACTTGGAAATTGCCAGTAATTTATAAAGGTTTCATTTTTAACTCTATGGGACGACGATCCTTAATCTTTTTAAAACGCGTTCATATAAGTTCATCAACAACCTATTGTTTGAATGTTAAAATTGCTTTCCTGTTTTAAATCGAGGTCACGTTACTTCTGATTTTTTTATACCTGGATATTTTTTGGAACTGGAGTTATTCTACTAGTGGTTCTCGTTGTAAAGCACTCTGTAAATCCATACCCTTTGGACATATCGTAGGGTCTAGATGAAACATTAGACAATATCAACGGGTTTACAAGTGTAGCTTATAAAGGAACGTAAACATAGACTGCATGGCATTGCAAAGTTGCAATGCGTTTATTTAGATTACGAACATACCTTAAAGAAATCGTCAAAACTTAATAATATTAACGACTAAGAATATGATAAATAGATTATACTACTAGAGTAGAAAAAAGTGACGACATAAAGTTATAATCATTAAAATAATATTTATGATATAAAGAAATGGTTTTAATTGTAGTTAAAAAAATAATTGATATTATTTATTTTTAAATTAATGATTTAAAGACAAAATAACTCACTGTTGCGATTTTTGTCCTTGAGAATTTTCAATGAAAACCGTCAGCAGGGCATAGATTGTGATTTTTTTAATCATGATGAAATAAACATATAATCCGCGCAGTGTCGCGAAATCGCGAGCGGTCTGCTTCGCGTGATCGATTCACAACTACTGCGGTACCGGTACCGTTCGCATGCAAACTGTTTCAATAGTGAGAACGGAAAGGTTGCGCGTACGCTACTGTCATACCGCAGTCAATTGAGCTTTTATATACAAACATCATAAACAAATATACCGCAACCATGATTTAATTGAACTTTTAAACATGCGTCATCCGCACGAATTATCAGTTGGGTTCTTGAGTTCTTTTCGAAAATTGTATTTCAAGTAATTTTTTTTTTGTTTGTGTCCTAAGGGTCTATTCCAAGAAGTACATAATTTATAGCCACAAGTACATGACGACCTAACTGCTAATTTCTAAATGTATCAATACGTCTTTTGTTCTTAAGTTAAAAAAATTGCAGTTAAAAAACATACAAGCCTTAAATTTTGATATTTTTAATTCTTAACACTTCATAATAATTGGTAATATCTTATAACACTTAGTTAAATTTAATAACAGAATGAGGTTGCATACAATTTACAGTGTAGGTAATGAAATTTAAATCTTGAAGAAGATTCGTTAGGCGCTCAAAATGTCTCTCGGTATATGGTAAAGCGCCCTCTATGAAATTAGCCAAAGAAGGCACTTTTAGATTACCTGAAATAATTTCCGGAGCTAATATATTAAAGACAAGTTGAGCAGCGTGACAATTTTTATTGTTTGTATTCCATTCTACTGCAAATTTTAGTAACGTTTCTTTTTGCGTGTGGCTAATATCGCTTAATGTTTCTCTAAGCTTTTCACTTCCACCTTTCAGAACTTCATTCACTATTTTTAACACGTGCAGTGGCCTGTCCATTCGTAATGCTAATTTTAAAGCTTTGAGTAATTTTTTGTCATGAAGTAAGTTATTTAATTCCTGTTCTTGCAAAATCAGTGCTTCTCTCTCCTTGGTCCTTCTTTCTCTTTGTTCCAATGTTACATCTTTTAATTTCACTAATTTTGAATCAGAACCACCTGTGATTATGTATGATTCATTTTTGGATATAGCTAATGACCACACTTTACCATCATGGTTGTCTAATGACATTTTACTTTCTGATGTTTTGATAGTCCATAACTTTAATAGTCCATCAGCTCCACTGGATAAAATCTGTTGGCCTTTACTAATGAACTCAACTTTCAGAACAGAACTTTCATGACCTTCGAAANTTGAATCAGAACCACCTGTGATTATGTATGATTCATTTTTGGATATAGCTAATGACCACACTTTACCATCATGGTTGTCTAATGACATTTTACTTTCTGATGTTTTGATAGTCCATAACTTTAATAGTCCATCAGCTCCACTGGATAAAATCTGTTGGCCTTTACTAATGAACTCAACTTTCAGAACAGAACTTTCATGACCTTCGAAAGTTTTTAGGCAACTTAAATCACTTATGGACCATAATTTAATGGAACTATCAGCTGAAGATGTTAGCACTACTTGATCAACAGGAGAAAATCTTACACACCACACTCCCCTTCTGTGACCTTTTAATACACCTAACAGTGTCAAGTCTTCTGCCCAAATCTTTGCAGTTTTATCTTGTGAACCAGTAGCTATCATTTTATCATTGGGTGATACTGCAACGCAATTAATGTCCATTTGGTGAGCTAATTCAGTGTGACTACATTTAAGATTTTGTTCTACACATTTTTCTGCAGGCTTAGATACAGTCCAAACTTTTATGCAATTATCTTGACTAACCGAGGTAAAGAAATCATCGGATGTTTGTGAAGTGTAAACAGACCCAACAGAAGCAGTATGGCGAGTTCCAACTGCAAGGCAATGAATAGTGTTGTTTGGTGTTTGAAACCACAATCGAACACTATTGTCTTTACTTGATGAAACAAACATTTCAAGTTTAGTTGGAAAGTTTGCTAAGGAGAGCACTATATCTGTGTGACCTTTAACAATTTGACAATTCATAGTTTCTAAATCATAATACTTCAGATCTTGGCTATTTGTGGCAACAATTATATGGTTCTCGTTTTTTCCCAAAAATATTATGTCAAGAACTTCATCAGTGAAACCAATCATCTGTTTCACAGAGTCAAATGTTTCTAGGTCATGTATTATAATGTTATGATCAACTGTCACTACAGAGACCATATTTCTTGCTTGATTATATAGTAGGTGCGTTATTGACAGCCCTCCTTCTTCAGTTGATGGGGATACTAAACTATTGATTTGTTCAAACATGATTCGGCTCATTGACAAATTCCATACTTTAACAATTCCTTTTTCTCCAGCACAAGCAACATAAACCCCTTCAGTTTCCAGCTTTTTATTAAAATTAGGGATTTTAAATGAAGGTGGTAAGAGAATGCAGGATTCAATTCCTTCATACACAGGAACAACTTTAAGAGCTTTGCTAACATTTAAATCCCACAATATGAGTACTCTGTCCCTCCCAGAGCTGACCATGTATTTACCATCAAGTGTGAATAGCAAAGCAGTTACCTTACTAAAATGACCTGAATATACTAATTGCTCTTTACCAGTTTTAGAACACCAGGATCTAATCTTTGTGTCATCTGCTGCTCCAAATACTAATTGTTTAGAAGAATCTGGATGATACTCTAACACAGAGAAAACACCCATAGCTCCACGAAGACTGCTAGTACAGGTATTATGTCCTACATCCCACAGTCTCACATTACCGTCGGAACCTCCTGAAGCAATATTTTCATCTGTTGAATCAAAGGCTAACTTCACAACAGGTCCTTTATGGCTTGATCTCCAAATTTTTAGTTGGACTCCAGTTTCTTTGTCCCACATTTTAATTAGGCCACTTTTGTGTGCAGTAACAATACTTTGATTACTATGTGATATTTTAAATGTATAAATCTGGTCATTTTCTGCATCTTCCTCAGTTTCGCCAATAATAAGAGAAGTGATTAGAGTGTCGACTTCAACCACCTTAATAGCTTCATCACATAGGCAAAGCATTTGTAAGCCATCATTTGTCCACTGTATATCACCACCTGTATAAAATGCAGTAAACTCTGCACTTTTCTCATATCTGGAAAAATATGGTAATATTTAGGTTCATTTGACACAAAATGGTGAAAGAGTTACAGAAGGTATGACAATGATAATTATTTCTTAGATGAAAACAATTCAACTTTTTGTTTTGGTTTGGTTTTTACTTGTTTATAATAGTAATAAAGTAAATATTTATTAAAAAGAAGAAAACATGAAGGAAGACTTGCAATAATTATAGGTTTTTATAATTAGTGGCGCTGAGGATAAGGAACTAGCCTCACACAAGTAACCTATCAGGCTATAGCACTTTGAAACTGAAGTGGCACAAGGAAATTTTTTTATACAGTAAAATAAATTAAATCTTTTGCTTGTTTTAATTTTAATCGCTCCTTGTCTATCTATGCACTTTTGACAGCACCCCTTACATGATACTAGGAGGAGTCAAAATGACCAAACTTTGAAGATTTGGCCAATAATTATACAAAACTCAGCTTGAACGGAATGAACCGAATAATATGGTCATTCTATGTTGTCCAGTGTCCAGTTGCCTATTTGAAATGTAGATGTTATCCTATTTTACTCAAAAACTAGGCAGGCAGTCCCCTTAACCCCTAGCTCTCATGTACATCTTTGGCATCTTTTGGCACGTTTAGGTTAGTTTGCTTTTTTTTATTTTTCTCAAAAACTATGTACTAGTACAATGATGTAATCGTAATTATAAACCAAACGTTGACCGAACCATCACATTTGACGCTAAATTTAGAGCTATCTAAGCCACATTTACCGATCCAAATTTTATGAAAAAGTATTTTATTCAAAGAAATAAATATTAATGAAATTGAGACTTACATTTCTTTTAAATTTGACATTGCTCTGGTTTACTGTTTTAGTAAAACAAAAAAATCAAAGCAAAGAATATATTTTAACGATCATATTATCCTTAGCAAGCCTAAATAAGAGCTCAAAATCAAAACCAAATCTACAACTTCTTTAGAAACGCATAGTACAAGTAAAAGAGCTAAACAAAACCATGCTTCGTTATTTTATTTTTCCAACTGGAAAGGCAAAGATGTCATACCATACTGTCTAATCTTTTTAATATTAATATATGAAAAATAAAAATATGAAGCGAAATGAAACGAAGTTGAATAATTTGAAACATGGCATGAAATAAAATGAAATGAGATGAGATCAGATGAGGCGAGGCGCGACGAGACGAGACGAGTAAAAAAACACTAAATAGACAAAATAAAACAAATCACACAACTTCATTCCTCGCGTTCCCACCAAAAAGTCCATTATTGTCTTGCTCTTGCTTTCTTCAATTTTTTTACAGTTTACACCGTGTATAATCTATGACTACTACTTATAGGACTTTTTTGGCGGGAACGCGAGGAGTGAAGTTGTGTGATTTGTTTTATTTTGTCTATTTAGTGTTTCGTCGGGTTTAAATGTGTAATAATGGTGGTTTATTAACTGTTTAATATCTGTGAAAGTGCACAAATGTGGGAAAATGAAACAAAGCCGCTGGACGTAACTTCTCGGGATCCTCCAAAAAGTCCACTGAAAAAATCTTAGAAAATGACCACCATTTTACTGAGATTATATTTCATCATATCATCTCAATTCATTTCATTTAACTTCATCCCAGTTGATTAGTGTCTCAAATTAATCATCTCACTCCATATCCATATCATTTTTCATAAAAATATGAATAATATAATAAATATAAAATAAAATANACAAAATTCAAACTAATGGTTTGCAATGAATGTAATTAACTTTAAGATGATTTTCTTTCAATCTGCTGTTTGTTTCATCTAGTATTACCAAAGCTAAAGCGTCAGAAACGTCAGAATAGAAATAAATTAGAAGGGAAATAAAACTATAACTATTGTAATCATGTCTAGGATTTCTATAAGCGTCATTAAGTACAAACTATCAATATTTAAGAGTACTTTAAATCATCCAGAATCATCCAGATTTTTCCACATTTTTTTTTTTTTCAAATTATGTATAAAACGTTTTGTGCAGAACAAAATGTCACATATTATGAACAATTGTGGGTTAATCGTTTCTTAAATTTCTAAATGTTTATAAGAATGCTAAGAATAATTTAGTATTCACTTTAGTGTGTGTATTATCTCTACAATGCTAGTATAAATGACAATTATTGTATGACGAAGCATAGGTAGTGTTTATAGATGTAATATTTTCATACAAGGTCATGATCTGTCATGATCAACTTTAAGCAAGAACTGCTATCATTGTGAAACAAATTTATTAAATTTAATTCAAATTGTCTACTATGTTTGTAATGGAAAGCTGACATGTTTATATTTCGCACGAATGACTTAATTGAGATGGAATGATTTGATTATCTAGACTTATTTAACTTTTAGATAACTTTCGATTTAATGTTATTAAGTACTCTAGTAGAATTAATCTAGAGGAGTTATTGTTATTCGAAATTTTATACAATTGTACGTTCATACTATCTTTTAACAGTAAATTGTTTGTAATATAGGGAAATTAAATAGCTTACTAATAGAATTACAGATTTTTATTTTAAAAAACTGTTTTCTCTCTGTATGAAAAGGTCTTATCGATTAGAATGCTGAACACAATCAAACGTTCTTTAATATTTCATAAGTACTACCGGGAATTTCAGCGATTCTAAACGATAAGATTTTTTCATAAAGAGAGTTAATTATAAAAAATATTAAAATTACTAAAAAAAGCCACCTGGTGGGGGGTAGGGAGACTAATAATCGACAGCAGCGACGCCTGCTGTCCTGGGCTCTAACTAAAGCAAAAATAAAAATGAGAGTTGCGCATCTATCTCAAATATATTATGTGTATAATCTATGCCCCTGACTTAGACAATCAGACGTTAAGCCCAATATTAATTTATTTAATAATTTATAGGTAGATATTTAAGAATGCTACGAAATCTATCCAAATATACTTGCAAGAGCAATATAAAAAATGTATTTTTTTGTACATTAGTTAACAATGAAAACAATCGAATGCCGAACAAATATGAAACTGTTTTCACATTTCCATTTATAAAATACATTGCAATATTTAATAGACTGAAATTGTACCACTGCGTAGCAGCAGGAGTGGTGATGCCCAGTTGTGGTGTTCTAGAAATGTTGCAAGTATTCTCAGAAAACACATTTTTCACTGCTGCTTATCTTGGTAAGCCAAATAACATTATTTACAATAACATTTGTAATAAGTACCAAACAGCATATTTTATTATGGTCCTTAATGTGGTCTAGTTTAAAAAAATCGAATATTTATTTGCAGGGATCACAGTTGGATCTCTTCTTTCTATTGCCAGCTTACCATTCAAGAATATAATTGGATTTCTTTATATTTCTGATGACAACCGCCACATAAAAATTTCTTATGTAGATTATTGGGGCAAAAGGCAAGATAAAATAATTTCTGCCAATGATTGGATTCCATTAATGGACATGGCCCCAAGGAAACTAGATCCCTTATATCTATCACCACATTTAAGTGATGGGACTAAATACAAGTTGTTTGTTAAATTTGGAAAAGTTTTGAATTCTAAGAAAATGGGAGAAGTTTTAGAATGACCTTATGTATTGGAATGAGCTGTTTATTTTAAGCAATGCATGTAAATTTTGTAGATATGTAAAAAGATAGTATGAATTTACACATCTTGTATTATTTGGCAGTATAACTGTTGCGTTTATATCCATGTAGCCCCAGCCTCCAGAAGTCTAAATGCTACTACATTCGTCTATCATCTAGTAGCAATGTCTAATTAGTTACTTAGTTTCATAGTTTTATTGGTGCTATGCTGTGTTGTAAATTATGATAAGTACCACAATCTGACTTAGTTTTATCACAAAACAATCATGCATTAGTCTTAATGGTATAAGACTTCTATGAACTGTTCATCTGCTGATTTAGAGAAAATAAAATATTTAGAAACATTGTGAAAAACTGTTTAGAATTGGTAAGCAGTATGTAGTTTAGACAAACACAAAAATAAAATAGAAATTAATATGTTTGAAATTTGTATTTATCAAATGTACAAATCAAAATATAACATACTTGCAAAAAAAAATTGCTCAAGTTCATAAATCATTTAAATAACAAAAATATGACACCATACATTACCCTCTTCCTAGGGCAGTCGGATAACAAACAGTAATGAGGTTTCTTAAGTATTATTTTAAAAAATGCCTGCAATTATGAAGTACCTTCTAATGAATACATTGTACTTTTCGTAATAAGATTGTTTTTATTTATTGCATTGTTAACATGCGGATTTAGAGAAATCCAGATTTAAAAATTGAATTTAAGATTTTTAAATTTACCAACTTTATCTATTTAAATTCTGAAATAAAAGTGTAACTAATCTTACCAGAGAAATGACTTTTGTGACAAATTATGAAGACACTAGAGAAGTTTAAAATTTTCTGAATACACTTTTTTTTTTTGTATTTAGGGATAAATTTATATAGCTAAATGCAATAAATTTCATCTATAAAATTAGTTGTAATAGAAGAATTAATATACCTATTTTAAAATTCGTATGTATAGCACTTAGCTGTGCCTTATTATGGCTGGGATATATTTGTCTGTAATAAAAAAGTCATAATTGCTCAAGTCATTCTGTTTAATTACAGATTTTATATAAAAACTTATAAGTGATTATTGCAATGTTGTGTTTGATGAAACATAATGAATTGTAACACAGTAGAAAACAACAGAAAAAATATAATTACTTTTGTTGATCAAAATTTTTGATATTACAACTATTTTATTTTTTATATTATGTATTTTTGCACTTCATAAAGAATCAAAATATATTGAACGTTGATGGTAATAATTTATTATTTAAGAAAATGAAAAATTACATTTTGTTCAATGGGTCACATTGAAAACAATAATGTATTTTTTCATTTTCAGCTGCGATTTCGATTCATATAAGTAAATTTTTGCTATTCTGTATCCCTGCCACAAGACATGGGATTTACTTAATTTCTAGCCTTTATCAAAGTACTCACTTAATAAAATTAACAACTACATAATATTGTCTACTCTATAAAAATGACTTTTTGCAAATATCTTCACATAAATAATAATTAATCGGTAATGTACAAAAGTAAATTGGTTTGACATAGGTCAATAATCGAAATTATTACTCTATTAACAAGAATATTGCCCATTTAAAAGCTTTAATTAAATTTATCTTTCATACCGCAGAGTAAATAATCATTAAAATGTATGAATCAAAATTGAAGTCGCGCTTTAAATGGATCACAATAACAATAATTTTGAAAGTTTTGAACGTAAATTTATGTCATATTAANAAGTAAATTGGTTTGACATAGGTCAATAATCGAAATTATTACTCTATTAACAAGAATATTGCCCATTTAAAAGCTTTAATTAAATTTATCTTTCATACCGCAGAGTAAATAATCATTAAAATGTATGAATCAAAATTGAAGTCGCGCTTTAAATGGATCACAATAACAATAATTTTGAAAGTTTTGAACGTAAATTTATGTCATATTAAGAACCCTGGACCTGTTTCTGATTTTTATTTTTTCATTAATAGTACATAAATGTGTGTCAAGTATTTCTACTCAAATTTCTGTGCTTGTGCAAGCAAACAAGATTTTAGTTTCACGTAAATTATCAAGATATTAGCCGTTCATTTACTAGCTTAAGAATATCGGTACGAATCGTGAGCGTTAGGCGAAGGGCGGTCTTTATATTCTTACTTTGAAAATTTTATATTGGGTGCCCCATAAAGGGTTATATATCAGGCCGAAAACTGTAGTTAATGTTCTTTAGACTAGGTTCTATGAAAAAAAAACCACAATAAATAGTTTCGGAATAAAGAGTATTTAAACGTAACGAATAAACTATTCTTCTGTCAACCCTTTTTTTTCGGATCTGGTTGGACCTCCCCAGATGTTGGAAGCGGACCGCAAGCCCAAGGGATGGAATTTAGGATCTGCTAACCCTTGAATTATGTTTTACATAATGTACGTAATATGATTAATAAGGATAGCCACATAAACAGAAGCGCTTTCTTTCTTAGAAGTGTGGAGGAACTCATGGCCCATCTGATATTATGGGGTACCTACTTGTAAGGTCTCACAAGACTTCTTTGCATCGCTAAGAACCACCTGGAAGTAAACGTATCAATATTTATCGTACGAAATGAATCCGCACAGTGAATACGTTTTTGTTCGCCAAATAAGCACTGATCGCGATATCGCTTTCTTTAAGCCCTCTTTGGCACGTGATCAACAACCTGCATCTTCTAGGTCGAGGTTACGTAAGTGATAACTTGAATCACTTTAATCTCACAAAGATTTATGTCCATAATCCAAGTTTAACGCATGAAAGAGTAAAAATAATTAAAAAAATCCGTATAACTTCAGATTGCTTTGGGAAGTTTGACGAAACGCAGCAAACGCAATGGTGCGGTGCCCCAAGAGTGTTCAAAAAAAACTAAAAAGGGTCACATGATGTCAGCTGATTGAAATATAATACATACAAAACACAGATAGGGTAATTTCGCCTGTTCACGTCCATTTTAAGTACGGATCTCCCTTTGAAAACTCGAAATTAAGTATACACACCAATACGTCGAAATGTTTTTACCGGCAATACCTCAATGTTTATGAGGCACGGACACATAGACAAAAGTTCCGTGCGTCCAAGCAATCCTGTGTAGAAAAAACATTTAGTAACGGCTGTTCAACAAGAGAGCGCGGACGCGCGGGTTTATGAGACAAAAATAGTGGGCAGCGGTCCGCAATGGAAACTACCTACAGGAAATAATAACAAAAACAAATCGCGTCCATTTTTGGAATTAATTCCCTACAATTGATTTGTTTGAGGGTATTTTTCAATACAAAATGTATTGTAGATACATTTTTTATTATGACTACAAGTTTAATATCTATTTTACTTTGAATGAAATAAGTAACTTCTTGAATTCTTCTTTTTTTCTGTTTAAGATGAGTTCTTCGGAGATAAGAAAGAAGAAGGAAAAAAGAACATACACAGAAGAATATTTAAGGGAAGCGTTGCTTGAAATTCGAAAGCATAAGAACTCGATAAGGAAAGTATGCAAATAATAAGCTATTCCGAATACTACAATATTGGACAAAATCAGTGGGCACAGACCGGATAGAGTAAACAAACCGGGCCCCGAACCTGCGCTAAGAGTAGATGGTGAAAAAAAGGTATCTGAATGGCTTCTTAACATTTCCAGTGAAAAAACAGGAATTGCTTAATACTGTTCAGAAAGTAATACAAGACGAGGGGTTTCAAAATAAATTTAAAGATGATCGCCCAGGTCAAAAATTGTTGTCCAGAAATAAAGAAATGACACTTAAAAATGCGGAGGGAATTAATAAAGCTAGAGCCCAAGTCACAGAAGAAAGAGTCAATCAGATTGTGGTTTAAAAAATTCGATGAATCTTTGGACAGTATACAGCAAAAAGATATTTTGATAGATCCTAAAAGAATTTTCAATGGGGACGAAAGTGATTTTGCTCTTTGTCTAAAGACAGGCCAAGTTTTAGGCCCAAGAGGATTCAAAAACTTATACCAAATAAAACCAAGTAACGAAAAGGAAGACATAAAGGTATTATTAACATTTAATGCGAATGCGGATATAGGTCCACCTTGTATTGTGTTTCCATACATTAGACCACCAAAAGGCTATAGTGAATAGTATGCCCCAAGATTTGTGCTTAGGCAGGTCGGAGACAGGGTGGATGAGAGAAGTATTCTTTGAATACATCACAACGAGTTTCACAACTGGAAACTGAAAATAACATTAAAAAACACGTGCTTCTGCTGGTATATGGGCATAAATCGTATATGTCCTTAATACTAAGTAGGGCATGTGAATAAATGCAAATTATTTCGTATGCCCTTTCGCCCAACACCACCCATATTGTACAGCCAACTGACGTTAGCGTATTTGCACCGGTAAAAATATATTGGAAATCTACAGTCCGCGCATTCCTATCAAAGCCAGAAAATTTTCATTCTGCCGTCACAAAAATAAACTTTTGCACATTATTAAATGATGCATTAAAACATCCTAACATGTCCGACAACACCAAAAGTGGGTTTAAGCGATGTGGTGTTTACCCATTCGATTAATAGTCCAAAAAGTCCCCCAAATAGTCCAGATTACACGAAATGTGTAAGAAATACTTTGGAGAATGTACAGGCCGTTGGTCAACAATCACAAGATGTTACTCGCTCAGACATTAAAAGCTTTAAATAAGTATTAAAACACTTGAAGCCGACACAAAAAGGAAAAAAATATTGACATTTGAACCATTACGAGAGCAGTCAATAGTTTGAAAAAGTCTCTCCCTGCTTAACTGGGATTTGCCGAGATTTCTATCGAAACTGAATCTGAGAAGTAACATAATATGGAACTTTCAATAGAAAAAAAAAAGTACCATTTTTAATCTCATTGACTGTAAATTGGATACAACTAAAGAAATCTTCATCTCTTCACTACACGAAGAAACCGAAAACGAAAGTGATCAAGCTAACTCAGATCCTACTGTACAGGTTCAAATAGTATCTATCAGCCCTAATATTTTCACAACCAAAACCATTAGCCGAGACTTTCATATCAATAATAACCACTAGAAATAGAAATGTAACATCTGCTCAACTTGACGTGAGATATCCGAATAATTAAACTCTCGATATCAACAAAAACGATTCGTTTCCTGACTTGTCTCTTTTGACATTACATCTTTCTGGCAATTACCTCAACGCCGGCTCTGTCGCGTCTTTAGACGACGTTCTAATTCTACCATTTGAAGAGATTGCATCATCGCCCTCTATGTCTAGTGTTGAAAAATAAACCCTTACTAAGGAACAAACGCCAGAAACGGCTTTGACTTCTTCGATTCATACAGCATCAGCTGTATCGCTACCTCCTCGAGTACCACCAGCTTCAGCAGTTGTTGAAATACTAACACAAAAGAAANCTGTCGCGTCTTTAGACGACGTTCTAATTCTACCATTTGAAGAGATTGCATCATCGCCCTCTATGTCTAGTGTTGAAAAATAAACCCTTACTAAGGAACAAACGCCAGAAACGGCTTTGACTTCTTCGATTCATACAGCATCAGCTGTATCGCTACCTCCTCGAGTACCACCAGCTTCAGCAGTTGTTGAAATACTAACACAAAAGAAACACCTCTGATTCATTTGAAAAGCACCTGATGCTGCCTGAAATCTCTAACAAAGCAAGAAAAAATTATCAAAGAACTCCAGCCATATCTTCTGCTGCATGGAGAAAGTATTATGAAGAGAATGAAAGTATTATGAAGATAACGAAGAGAAGAGAATAAAGAGAACTAATAGAAAAGCAAGAACAGAAAAAAAACTTTAAAACACCCTCAAACGGTTCGTAAAACTGCCCTGAAATGAAAAAACGAAATACACCCCCTCTTGAAGAAGTCACAAAGAAAACGATAGATGTGGAAATTGAAAAAGAAAATTTACCAGGCGTGGAACGAGTGAAATGTCCTGAATGTGACGATATACTAATTTCAAATGTAGAAGAGGACGATGAGAAAAACATTGGCTGTGACAAGTGTATTAGATCATATCATCTGAAATGCACGCGATTAGTAGGATTAAGTTATTTAGAGGCCAAACATGTCTTTTGAATGTGACTTGTGTCATTAATTAAAATTCTAAGGCTATAATAATCATCTTTCATCATCATCAATCATCTTTAATAAATAAATTATTAAAATCCAATCTCGCTTTAATATCATAAAAATATCCTTTAATACCTTTGCTAAGCTGATGGATGAAGTGGTCCAGCGGGTGGACGCAAATTGATTTTTATGGAGGCAAAGTGGGTAAAACGCCTAATTCTGAAGTTTGTCTTTTAAAATAAAAATACAAGATGTTTCGCAAAAACTAAGTTACCTTAAAATAGACTATTATAATGAACACATTACATAAACTTTTCATTGAAATTACCTAGTGTTGGGACATTTTTATTTTCTCCTTCAAACTTGCCAACTGCACTAAGTGGACGCAAGTAGGCGAAATGACCCTAAGCACTCCACAAGCGCCGGCACATCAACCTGCTTTTGCCTTTACGATAGAGGTGAAATTTAGTAACAATGCCGTAATAAGTTTGTTTTTTTTTTTGTTTTTTTGAATTTTGTAGGTACCTAATAATAACATGGTTGCATTTTTTGGTTTTGTTTAGGAGTTAAAATGAATTTTTTATTGTCTATCTTGTTCAGATGCGACTTGACTGAATGAATGGCCTAACGGTACTTTGATTGTATAAATTCAGGGTTGCCTTCGAACAGTTGAAACAATTATTATAAATTAGTTTTTGTATGAATCTACTAATTACGATTTAATTTTTTTACATATTAAACATGATTTACATTGTTGATACTAGAGCCACGTTTCGGCTTGATATACCCATTGTCGGACACCCTATGATTTTATAATTTTTAACATGTATACATGTTTTCTTTCAAAATAGATCATCAAACAATAGTAAGCAAAATATAATGAAAACTAATTAAAGTCGTACTGAAGTATACTCGTCGGGAGTTCTTTTTGAATTTCAGAGAACAAAGTAAATAACAACAGATAGTCATAGCGAGCCAACAGCCTAATGATATAATAAAAATAACTGGAATTCGTACCACTAAAGACGCGCAAAGACTGGCTTAAGTGCAGGTGAAGATCAGCACTCAAAATCCGTGCCGCTTATTGTAGACGATCGTACCATAAAGTCAAAACTCCCAAAAAACAGTTTGAGCAGTTTGCTTATTAAAAACAATTTTCATGAGATTTCACTCTAAAACATATTGGTCACGCACACTAAACTAGTTCCTGAAAACTGTGATTAATCTACCCAGGCTTGAGCAGGCTGGTCTGTTGTGAAAGGACTCACTCCATTCCGTTCCATTGATTCTAAGATCTCGCAAACATATGCAGCAACATCTGATCGACTTTGGTCTATTCCTTTGATGAATGGGTGCTCCAGTAACCTGTTATACTTAGGTCTCTGTGTTTCTTCTTTTATAAGGCTAAAATAAATATTTCAAATGTATATTCGTTGGAATACAGTTATCGGTGAGCGCTTGTAACTTAAAATTCTATATTACAAACGAAAACAAGACAAGGCTTTTAAGATGAGTCTTCCTGGCCTAAAGGACAAAACGCCCGTTGCATTCGTATCAGGCGATGGAACGGTGTTTCTTGCAGGCCGTTACCAACTTTTCTAATGTAATATGTACATAACAGAAATAAAGAAAAAAGTATATTATAATGTAATAATAAATAATATAATAAGGAACGTTATGAGAGCCACTAATGAGCTTATCTTGAAAATCTATCGTAAATCTCAAACACCCCAACATCTTGAACCTGGTTGAACGGTGGCAAAGTGCAAAGAAATATTCTTCTGCTGATAAATGCTCTCCAAACAACAGATCATGACCTTGAACCAACTTGTTCATAACTTTGGACAGTCTGATTGCAGAAGATTGGTTAAATTGATCAGATATAAGGCAACCATTGTATTGATGTAATTGAGACTTCATTCTTATGCCTCAACATGGGCAGCAGATTCACATTGGAGTTTAAGGATTTACTTCTGTAACCGCACAATATAAGGGGGCCTAATAAGTAATGGTACTAAAAGTAATAATTTTATACCTAACGATCGATTTCATAATGTTTAATGTAGATTTATATCAATCAATCAAATATGTGGATTTATACTTACCAAGTATTAACGAAGTTAACGAAGCTGTTTGAAAACATGTTGTTATTGGAGGAAAGACGTGGCGGGTCCCCTTGAACCACTTGCTGTAGCTGTTCAAATACAGATCCCCATCTTGGGTACGGAAATGCACCAGTAGCCACTTCCATCAAAGTAATACCTAAAGACCAAACATCTGAGCGTACATCATAACCTCTTGCACGGCCTGGATCAATTCTTTCCGGCTGAAACAAAAGTTTTTGTTTACAATTCTATAACAGTTTGACTGGTGAAGGGTGCTGTCTTTTAATTCAACGTCAATCATTGTATAATAGAGTAACTAACAGCGAAAGGACCTCATTATCCATTTTGTACTTATGAGGTGTCCAGAGCACACAAACATAATGAGAGGGCCATTACCTACAGTCCGCGCGCGAGCTCCGAGGATTTTTAAGGAATGTTGACGTAATGAGCTAGTGTTGTAATTAGTCGATATTGCGCTATCAATACTAACTCATCTTAAGCCTCCGTGCGAGTGTAAATTATAAAATTGTTTTATGAGGGTATTATGTACTTGAAATAAAATAAAAAAAACGATTGATCACGTATGAATTTCATTTAATGAACTGATTTTTATTGAACAAAATGAACGTGAAATCTTGTTAATTACTCTCGCAATCAGATTAATCAGTAGGTGAAGAATTTGATATACTCTCCTCTTGATGTCACTCTCCTCACATACTTCAATAATAAATGATTCGACAACATCCTCCATTAAGCCATCCTTTTGCCAGTAATATTCCTCTAATGCTAAGACATGTTTATTATGCTAGTGCTCGCCATTCCTTTTTCATCAAATTAAATAGCTATTTGTGCAAACAAAAAGACTTATAAGTGTAAGACTATTTNCCTTTTGCCAGTAATATTCCTCTAATGCTAAGACATGTTTATTATGCTAGTGCTCGCCATTCCTTTTTCATCAAATTAAATAGCTATTTGTGCAAACAAAAAGACTTATAAGTGTAAGACTATTTATATTAGAAATCACCCGTAATTAACGCTGCTATCGCAAAATTAAAAACAACGAGTCGGTAAGCGTACTCTCACGTTAAGGTCAATACTAGTACTGGGAGAGTGCGGGGTATGAAGCGACGGTCGGGCGCGGTGCACGCCCGCCCGCTTCCTCAGCCCCCGAATCCTCGGAGCTCGCGGGCGGAGTATACTTAGCAATATGAATAAGGTCAAAGCTATAACTATATATATGTGACCTATTACACTTTTAAAACTGAAATGAATCTTCTAAGCATGAGACTAGGCAGAATAGCTATCAGAGTAGGTTCACGATTTTCTTTAATGATTTGTTGCCACTTTACAAGCATGCATTTTCTTATCTGCTTTCCTCTCATAGCCTTGGCTTACATGACTTCTTTCTAAATTGCGTAACAAGTATGAAGGTATTGAGACTTGTATCTTTTGTTGCAATGAGGGCAATTGGTATTCAAACTATAGCATCTACAGTCTGGTTAAGATAAGGTGGTAGGCAAGTGAATTTTATCTATTATGCCTGAAAAAGAGCATTCATTATTGGTTTAATTTTATTTTACTTACTGCCATGTATGGTCTACATCCAGCATCTCTTGTCCGAGCTATTGAATCTACTAGCTTCCCAGATATACCAAAATCACACAGTTTTATATTTCCTCTTCTATCTAGCAGTATATTAGATGGTTTCACATCCCTGTAATTGAAATTTATGTGAATAATTAAATTAATTGAATAAGTGAAATATATACGAGTATACCGCTCAATGTTACTTTTGTGTTTGTTTTCTATTCATTATTTACAGGAGTTTTCTTGTGTAAAGTTAGTATAAGTATAACAAAAAAAAAAAATGTGTGTGTCCGCTCCGACGCACGACTGGAGTTTACTGGATATAAAAAATTAAACGAAACAATACGAGAAATAGTTCTATATTACGACAACACGATACACTACAGATTATTAACAAATTAACGAGACACAAAACAAACGACTAACAAATATATGAAAATACAATAATGAGAGAAACGCGCGATCAGTACGAGGCTTTGTGGCGGACTGCCGGCGCAGCAGCCCGGCGTCACCTGCGATAACGCGGCCGCGCGTTGGCTCCTGATTGGCGCGCGCACGCATCACGCAATCAGGAGCCAATCAGGCGCATAACGCATTTCGTGTGACATGCTAGTACGATTTTGGTCCCCATAATTTTCATACCCCGGGCCTATATATGTAAATCGATTCTAAAGGAGTAAACTCCAAAAAATTCACAAAGATAATGACCCTAACAAAAAATTGGAACAGGATCATAACCAGCTAATAATCAAACAACCATCCAACTAACAGCCACAACCAAATAGGCAATGATAGGTCTATTGAGAAATTTTAAAATTGTAACACAACTTGCATATTTATAATTTAGTCATATATTTGTCATTTCCTCTCACATTCTTCCTTCAATAATCTTATGATCTTTTGAACATTCTGAATTCTGATTCTGAACCCAGATTTTATTTACTGGTATACTGTCTTGGGTTTTGACCATAGCATTGCTGATGTAATGACAGTGACCTTTTATCATTAGATAGGTATACTCACCCACCTTCTGAAGTAGGAGCATTGCTGATTACCTTGGGCCTCAACCATCTGGTAGTCTTAACCCTCTTAAAATATCAAATGAGTACAGATAACATGCTAACATTCTTTGGATATCACAAAGGGGGAGCATTGTCTTTGACAATTTATTTTAACTCCATTGGGTCAAACAGTTAGAGAAGTTGTTAAGTAGTTGTTAACAAGGTTGCATATTTGCTTGATGAAAGGCTTGCTTAGTAGTAATACTAAATATACCTAGTTTTAAATTCTGGTAATTTGTATGGTTTATGATTGAATTTTTGAGGTAAAAATTAAAACTTAGACAAATTTTAAGTAAACTAGTTAACAGGAATAAAAACGAAACATTAAAATATCTCTATGGTATAAGTAAAGTATTTATTTTATACAATTTTAAAATTTCATAACGAAACATTAATTAAGTAACTCCAATTTTTTTTTAATCAATACCTTTTTCTTGTTATCATATTGTCTACACGTATTTGATAATGATTTCAAGTGTAACATGGAAGTCTTTCTAACTGAATCATTGGATTATATTGCTTTAGTTAAATAGAAACTAGATTATGAAAATGTGATATGTTTAAAAGTCAACCGTACTCACCTATGGATAATTTTCAATTTTTCTTTTAAATAATTTAAAGCCTTAACTGTAGCCAGTGTAATTTTTGCCATTATATTTTCTGGTATTCGAGTTTGCATTCTTTCACATATAAATTTGTAAAATTTGTCTAGTGATGTGTCCATTAATTCCATACAGATCCAACAATCACCCTGAAATAGATTGGTGTGTGTGTTTTTTTTCTTTCAGACAAGTAAATTTTAGAATAACATAAGAAACAAAACTAGATAATTCAGTTTTGACTAATTTTATAAATTATTACATATAGAAATTCTTGCAGCAATAATAATTCATTATGTTTTAAAGCATAAGTACCTCTTTGAAGAGTGCTCCATAAAATTCCACTATATAAAGACAATCATTACTCTTCATCACAACTTCTAGATCCATTAACAACTGCTTTTGTTCTTTCTCATCAACTGTTGAGCGAATCCTTTTTACAGCCATTACACGACTTGTCCTATTTTAAACACACAGTGTATTGAGTTAATGTAATATTTAAGCTTCAAAATATCTTATCACACTTCTGCTTTTATTTTCTTTGCATGCTACTCAAGCTTTATAATTTTTTTATCCCAATAGTGGTCAATTTTTTTAAGTTCCATTAAAAGTTAACTTCAATGCTATTTCAATATTATTTTAACTTTATTCATACTTTACATACTTTCTATAAACCATTTTATTTACAGCTCCAAATGCTCCCCTGCCAATCTCTCCCAGATCTTGCAAGTCATCTGCAGTGAAATCATATACTTCAGTAGCAGATAGCTGTAGTTTCCCAGATGACTGCATTGATGGATATATTCGACATCTATCTCTAAATAGACAGTATAAGAAATATAATGGATATTAGATCATTATTTTTATATTTTGATATACTTAAACTAATAAAGTCATTTTTATAATATTTAATTAAATGATATGTAAATAATAAATATGTCCACTGTATGACATATTATAAAGTATTTACCTCGCATTTTCTGGCAGTACATCTCTAATAGTACGTGAAGGAATTTTTGGCTTTTGCATTTGTGCAGTTGTCGATGAAAATGGTACAAAAGCGACATCGCTCGACGGGCCACTCAATGGGAGATCTAAAATTTTACGTTTTTCTGTGCCAAATAAATTCAGCTCGGGTCTTGGTAGGCTTGGTCGACTAGGACCTGAAACAAAACAATTCAAAATATACAACATCAATAAAGTTGTCAATACCATCTAATGACAACAAAATGTACAATGCTAACTTTTTACCTTGGTTTGATGATAGTTCTCCGTTTTTGGACATTCTGCAATAATTATTTCTGCAATTTTAAATCGTGTTCCCTAATCTTTGGTAAATATTGCAAAATTCGCGTAATCCATTTGAAAATGCATATATTAATTGGTCACGTTTTCATAATTTAATAATCTTTTTATTCATACATTGTACCTACTACAGCATCTAGGTACCTTCCAAGAGTCGACACAACACATGATGTATGTACCTATCAATTTGCTTGACAGTTGACACTATGAGACATAAGCCATTTTTTAAATTCATTTAAAAATTCTATCGAACCATTAAAAAAACAAAATAAAATTGTATCGAATACATCGATACGGCCGTTAACTTTTATGGTGAGCAAGCATGAATGAATTTTCTTTGAATGTTATTCCTAATTATATTTTCTTAATCGATATGAAAATAGATTCCTTATTTATTTTCTATTTCTCGAAACGAAGATGAAATAAGAGAAAACCTTTACTGAATATAAGGTTTTAATAAGCTAAAATTAACAGTAAAATTTGCTTTGATTACATTAGATACATTGACCATTGACAAATAACGAATAAAACAGATTGACAATGACGTCAACTTATGGCTGATAATTTCAACTAAGAAGTTTACATCAGAAGAGCAAAGCTGTATGATACTACTCAGAAACAATAATCGCAGAGAGACGTTGTAGAAGGAAATTAATTTGTCTATGGCCCAATTTAATTATGAGAATTGAGATTGTTATGTATGCACAACCTATCGAGCAACATATGTACTACATATCTTGTCCTAGCCCACTGAGTTTCTCGCCGGATCTTCTCAGTGGGTCGCGTTTCCGATCCGGTGGTAGATTCTGCGAAGTACGGCTCTTGCTAGGGTTCGTGTTAGCATCGTCGTCAGGTTTGAGCCCCGTGAGCTCACCTACTAGCCACGGTTACGCTGAAATAGCCTCTCAAGGCTATCAGATTAGGGAGAAAAAAAAAACAATATATGTACTACATATCTTGTCCTCACTCGGTAAGTCGTGCATATTATGTATTACCTATATCGAGGACTCTTATAGTGCGCAAGATAGAACGAGGACAGATCATGGTAGGTTTCCAATTACAGCACTAGAGCGCATTATGCGGCATAATGCTCAACGTTGAATGTTCCAACTACAGCAACGCTTCGCACAATCGAGCACTTTCAAAAGTACTGCCTGTCATCAGATATTTTATTAATGGCTCAAATAACTCATCTGTTTCATTAACATATATATTTTCAATAAATATATAACTTGATAATGAAATAATTGATTGATTTAAACTCGGAACACTCGATAAATCATCGTCATCACTATCATCTGGATAAGATGATTCAATTAAAAAGTATATAAATTTCTTAGAACTCATTTAAAAAAAGACTACTCTAAACGTAAAAAAAAGATAATGAAATAATCCAAGTCCAAATTACTTAAAATATCCGTAAATAGTTTTCAACAAATTATTATTGTTTACCACATTATTTATACATTAGTGAGGTTGCTAACTCCATGAAATTTTTTTTTTCAACACTGAACTTAGCGCACTCTGCTGATACATTTGAAAACTAATTCACGTTCCAATTAAGCTTCATCATAATTCGGCATTGTGTGCCACTGAGTCGCATTATCCTCTGTAATTGGAAAACTAGGTATAGCTCGTCTTGCCTGGTGTTCCTACCCAAGGTTATGATGACATCACTTGTCCTATCAAAGAGTAAATTAAACACCTTATAGATTGCCTTTATCCTAACACTTTGTCGTTCATTTTTTAAATATTCTTAGGAAGCCCTGAATTATTCATGTTGTAATTATGCACTTCTATAGTCGTCGTGGCCTAACGGATAAGACGTCCGGTGCATTCGTGTTGAAGCGATGCACCGGTGTTCGAATCCCGCAGGCGGGTACCAATTTTTCAAATGAAATACGTACTCAACAAATGTTCACGATTGACTTCCACGGTGAAGGAATAACATCGTGTAATAAAAATGAAACCCGCAAAATTATAATTTGCATAAATTACTGGTGGTAGGAGTCCTTGTGAGTCCTCTTGTGAGTCCGCGCGGGTGGGTACCACCACCCTGCTTATTTCTGCCGTGAAGCAGTAATGCGTTTCAGTTTGAAGAGTGGGGCAGCCGTCGTAACTATACTTGAGACCTTAGAACTTATATCTCAAGGTGGGTGGCGCATTTACGTTGTGGATGTCTATGGGCTCCAGTAACCACTTAACACCAGGTGGGCTGTGAGCTCGTCCACCCATCTAAGCAATAATAAAAAAAAACAAATATAATATACCAAAAAAAATCCATTTAATTTCGATATCTACATGTGTTTTTGACAGGAATAATGAAGGACTAGGAATCTTGGAAAGAATATCATCATCAAACTCATCTATGCTAAATGTATAATTTGAGTGGATTGAGGATTTTGAAGTTGTCGTGGCCTAAATGATAGGACTGCCCGTGCATTCGTCTCAAGCGATGCAACCATCGGTGTTCTAATCCTCCGTTCGAAATACGTTTTAACAAATCTTTACTATTGACTTCCACATTAAAATTTATAGAATCTTATACCTTTAAACGAGCAATTCTTGTAGATATTATATATATTCTGAATCTCGGAAACGGCTCCAACGATTTTCATAAAATTTAGTATATAGGGGATTTCGGGGCGATAAATCGATCTAGCTACGATTTATTTTCAGAAAATGTTGTTTTATTCGTATTTTCAATAATCAACTTTATCGATAATCAACTTTATGACTCTTTCCGACATCTATTGGCGAATAATAATACTATTTTTACCGCTTTAAAGACACAACAAGATGGCGTTATAAAAAAAAAAGCCGAGCAAAGCTTGGTCATCACTAGTATTAATTAAATCCGCAAAATAATAATTTGCATTAATAATAAATTGCTGGTGGTAGGATGTCTTGTATGCTTGCAGGGAAAAGTATCACCAGTCTGTCTATATCTGCCGCTATGTAGTCATGGGTTTTATTTTGAAGGATGGGGCGGCGGTTGTACTGTGAAGTGAGACCTTAGAACTCATGTATTTTTTTTATTGCGATAGGTGGATGAGCTCACAGCCCACCTGGTGGTAAGTGGTTACTGGGGCTCATAGACATCTACGACAAATGCCGCCCCCCTTAAGGTGGGTGTAACCACTTACCACCAGGTGGGCAGTGGGCTCTTCTACCCATCTAAAGCAATAAAAAGGGCTCAAACAAGCAGCATTAGCATATCATAGGTATATGCTGTGAGAGATGTGGCACAATTTCAATGGGTTTTCATACAGAGCCTAATATCTTTTACAACATCTGTATATACTTGGTCCTTAGCAGAAGGCAAGGAGTTTGGCTTAGGATTAAAAGTCAATAATGAGAATTGACCAAAAGTTTGGCAGTTACATACTGATCTTAGAGCTCTGTAAGAGTTGGGTTGTGGGGTTCAAACTATTAAAAAGTGCATGTAAGTTCTTTAATGATGATTATTACTAATTAATAAAAAATAATTATAATTTCCTTAACTTAGTTTTTATTTTTATTTATTTAATATATTTTGTACACACAGCTGTTAGAAGGAACACAACAATAAGGATGCAGAGAACAAGGGCACTAGTTATTTCATGTTGAAATCTCTTCCAATAGGCCCAGTAGTTTTACAGTAGTTTATTGAAGTGAAACTTCTTTAGAATCGTTGGGTGTGATTTCAAACTCGATGAAACGAAACGAAAAAATAAATATGCCACGATTGGCTTGCTGAAGCGGCTCTGACACATCACGAAGCGCTCCACGCGGTCTCGCGTCCCCGACTAGTTCAGTGTGTTTTTAACGTCCGTGCACGCTGTCGTGGCTCTCGGAGCGCCCTGAGATACTTTTATTTCTATTTAGTTTGTTATCAACAGATGTCGCAGCACGCAAATTCAACAATTCCTGAATCGCAGTGACGAGATGTTACACAGTTCATAGACATTCTCGTATTTCTCTCTTTCTAAATCATACTTATCTGGTGTAGGGTTACTGTGATTATGCAGGTGGTTCTCCCAAGGTGAGGCTGCTCCGTTGCACTCCGGAGTGGTTGACCCTTGCGATTATTTTTATTTTTTATAAGGTTCACTTCTACTGAGTGTGAATTGTGCACATACACATTTTTTTGTGTTGTGTTACGTGGTCATTTATAATTTAAGTTAATTTTTGCTGATGATACCAACTCAATAATTGATAAAGTAAAAGAAGATATCTCTGTTATAAGTAGTTAGCTTAATGTTCAGCGAACAGTGGTCAGATATCATTCCATATCTTTATGTTTTTCCTTACTTCTATGTGTAGATTAATTCATTTATTTTACACTAGGCTTAGTTTTATCAAAAATCACATAAGGTACACTTAATGGTTGAGAAACTTCAATATCGTCATCAATTTCATAGTTTTCTAGTTTTAGACTCCTACAAGAATAAAACATAGTCAATTTATTTATTTAATCCAAAAATCAGAATACAGAACTACTATAAAGACTCAATGGTTTAAGATAATTTGTTTTAATGAAGAGTAAAGAGCATTCATTCATTGTGTTTTACAGAACAAATATTCAAATTATATTTGTTATTACCTCTCATCTAATTCACCTCTAATGTAAGGAAGAGCTCCGTAAAGGTCTAAGGCAGCAATTCTAAAAGTGACCTCTTGGCCCTCTTTAACACTAGATCCGATCCACTTGTCTCCAGGCTCTTCTGTTGGCTGTGGTATGACCACATTAAAAACTCTGAAATAATACAATTATTTATTTATATTATTTTTTACAACAGTATTTACAATAATAATATTTATTATACAGTACCTATGTACTAGGACACTTAAATGTGTGGAACACTTTTTGTTAACTAAACCAGTTAATTTTGCACCTATGTATGGTTGAAATATGAAGTAATCCGCTTGAACTTGGAAATGTATATCCGCATTATCATTGCGTATAGTGCCAACATTCTGAAGTATACAAGGATTTTTATAGCTTACTAAGACACCGTTCAACCTAAAACATAGTGAATGTTAGTTAAAACACCTATTAGTTGTAACACCAGTGTTTTATATGGGAAATAAGTTGAAACTTTAATTTGGAAATTAATCAGATTATAAACTTACTCTTTATCAAATTTACCAACTTTATAATCTAATAAGTTTGTTATAGATTCTTTAATATTTCCAAGGCACCATGGCTGTAAAGCCAGATTTTGTGTAATCTTTTTTACAACCAAACAAGAATTTTTGTCGTTTGCCAACTGTTTTAACTCTCGTAGGTCAAATTTTATGATTTTAGACATTATTATAAGTTTCCAAATAGTTAAATATCCATGCGAATAAAATTATTCACTTTCAGAGATTCGCTTTCATTACAGAGCCTTAAGTGTATTGTGTTTATTATAATCTATGGATAGTCATAGATATATTTTTTTTTTGGTACAATTTTTCCTTGTTAGGAAAGGCAAGGGATCTAAGCCCATACAGCGTTAGAGTCATAGATAACACACTTTGTTTATAGATTTTTTTAATAAATTTTATGACCTGGTAACTAAGATCTTTAAGTCATATCTTATTTTAATTTTAATTTTTATGAAAAATGATAATATGGAATGAAATGAAGATGATTAATTTGAGATCAAATGGGATGAAATTAAATGAAATGAGATAAGATGATACGGGATGAAATATAATCTCAGTAAATTGGTGGTCATTTACTGAGATTTTTTTAATGGACTTTTTAGAGGATCCCGAGAAACTACATCCAGCGGCTTTGTTTCATTTTCCCACATTTGTGCACTTTCTCAGACATTAAACAGTTAATAAACCACCGTTATTACACCTTTAAACCCGAAGAAACACTAAATAGACAAAATATAACAAATCACACAACTTCATTCATCGCGTTTCCGCCGACATAACTTAAAGGTCTCAATTACCAGGTCATAAAATGCCTTAAAAAACCAAAAAAAGGCAATACCCTGAAATATAATTTCATTTAATTAAAAAAAAATAAAAAACTATGTCTAATGTACTAATTTTTTTTTATCGACGGTTAAAAAACTCCAGCTTCAATTCATTTACAAGGTAAAATTCTAAAGACTACAGATTGGTTAAGATGCAAATAGTAAGGCTCCGAATTAAAAGTGTAAAACACGTTAATTACAGAACACTATCAAAACTCCAAATTCGAAATTATGCGAAGGCGACAAGCTTCCCAGACTATTATCAAAATCCAATATTTAGAAAAGAAGATCAAGTGAAACTCATTGCAGATTCGGATTTGAAGAACCGAGCAACTGTACCTGTGAAGCCACCAACGGTTTCTGAAACGTCTTCCGTTTACTTTGATCCTCTCGTTAAGTAATAAAATAATTTACTTACTTTTACTTTGAAACAAAATCATCAAAAATGCGACGAACAATAAATAAATTAAAAAATTTCAGTAAAGTCATCAACCATGTGATGGAAAAAGGTAACAAACGATTGGCTCGTCAACTCGTTGAGAAAGCATTCGAAAATATCAAAAGGAAACAAATTGAACGATACCATTTGGCTTCTACACCAGAAGAAAAAGCCAAAATAGAGTTAAATCCTAAGGACATTTTATATAAAGCCGTTGAAAATTGCAAACCATTGTTACAATTACAGCCCATCAAGAGGGGTGGTATCACATACCAGGCTAGTTTTAATTATTTTTAACAATAGTTTCTTTATTTTGCGCGCTTTGTCAGTAAAACCTAAGAAATCATCCTTAAGACAATATATAGATTCATTTCTAAATTGGCACAGAGTTGTTCTTGAGTTGTAAATATTCTGAAAAACAATACCCATCTAACCATCTACAAGGTTTTGTCAGAAAACTTTGTTATGATTATAATAAATAAAAATATATTTTCATGATCATCACATAGACATTTTTTGCCTTTCTAATGGGGAATAGTTACTGTCGCTTATAGAATTGGTAGAGAAACATGTCATAGGGCTCAGAAAATACTGTGGAGGGAGAAAATACTGTTTATTACAAAGGAAGGAAATGGTATGTGGCAAAATAGATCTTTGAAAAGTACTGTTGAATGCAACAGTTCTTAATAGTATGGATGAACTCTGCTGCAGTGGTGATTCTGAAAAGAGCTTGACAGATGACCTTTTTAAGGTTGTTGTGGACAAGCTCAAGTGTGTCCTCTGTCCAGTAGTGCACATATTTGAGTTGCTATGAATTATTATATTTTTGTGTACACCAAGAAGCTGGTTGTGCAGTTCTATAGTTTTTTTGGAATATATGTAAGTAATTATTTATTTAAAAGCTACTTTATAATAAATAATATAGAGACACAATGATAAGACAAATATATTATTAAGACTATTAATTTCCTTTTGGATATGAATTAATGATCATTAAACTTTTACAGGTGCCTGGACCAATCACTGAAAAAAGATCATTGTTTTTAGCAATTAAATGGTTACTAGAGACAACAGATGAAAAAGAAAGAACTGTTCATTTCCCTGAGCAGTTTGCTTGGGAACTCCTTGAAGCTTCAAACAATACTGGCAAAGTTGTAAAGAGAAAACAAGATTTACATCGGCAATGTGAAGCTAACAGAGCATATGCGCACTACAGGTGGCAATAACAATATTCAGTCCTTATAAAGTAGCAGTAAAATAATATAAATAAAATCATCCATGTGACACTAGTAGTCTATCTAAACTAAACATAGGAACTTTGAAGTTAGAGTAGCAAATAAATAGAAGTACATCAATCCAATGTATACTTTCTACAAGCATTAAATCTAGTAGAATGTACTATTGTCTAGGTTCATTTGCCCTGTTCAGTCTTTGCACCACCCATGACCACCACCTGAGGCACCGGTCAAATAGTTCTCTAATTGGATATAATGTGATCATAGCACTTTTTCTAATTACAAATATAAGTAAATTTTCTTAAAGCAATTGTGAAATAAATAAGCTGTAAGTAATTGTAATTTAATGAAAATTACGACTGCAATTCCAATCATCTTTGAGATAGCCACCTGCCTATATACTATTGTATAGTACTTTTTTGATCCAATAGTATAGCATTATTTGGATATTGACAATTTGTCATTGCAATATGTATGAAATAGAATGAATAGAGTTGCAAAAACTATTTAATTAAACTGAGGAAAAACCAAATATCTAGTTTCTTTTTCTAATTAGTGAGACGGCTTTGACCACCGCTAATTGTATGAAAAATTCATCTCATCAAACTAATACGTTCTTCATCATCTTCAAGTCATAGTACTTACTATGACTATAATCTCTGAGTATCGACAAGCGTACAAACCATTTCATAGGATTTAACGAAATATAAATATTCGCTTTAGCGTGTGGTGCGCGAGGCCATAGAAATGAAAAACACAAACGTTTTAATATAAAAAAAAAAATTTAAAATAAAGAAAAAATTAAACCGTAAAAGTAGTTTTAATTTTATATACGAGTATACATACCAAGTTTTATCACAATTGTGTGAATGGCTTGACGACGCATAGAGTAGAAACATATAAGATTAACTGTTATTTAAACAGCTCATTTAATTCGAGGCGTCTACTCGTCTGTATTGAAACCACGGACAGGTTAGACTTTATATGGAATACCCATTGCGCTCGTCTGGGTAGGGGCCTCCAAACTCCTGCTGCTTCCATTTAATTCCATACAAAAACTAAACCCGTTTTCTTAATTATTTGTGTTGTTTTTAATTGAACATTGACCTCAAATCTCAAGGTAGCACCGGTACCCACTTAAAACTAGGTGGGCCACGAGCTTTAGCTCATGTGGCAATGAAAAAACAAGACAAGTAATTCCTAATCTCACGGCCGATTTGTAATCCTTTATTATGAGTTACTTCAGGGTGGGTTAATAAACCGTGTAATACGGTTTATTGCACGGCGATTGCTCCAAGGAGCTGATAGTGACGATCTGGATCCTGAATCGATTAGGAAACACCTGAAGGCAGCGTCGGAACTGTATTTCGATAAGGCCATGCGTCATGATAATCGCCTTATCTTTGCTGCCGCTGACTACTCCCTGATTCCGGCTCACGCAGTAGCCAGTCATCGCCGACGCCCGAGACACGTCCTTACGGATGCATCAGATCCATTAACTTCAACACTAGACGCCTTTCCCTCTCGCACTAGGATCAAACTTAGGGACTCGTAACCGTACCCGTCGAACTTGCAAAGAGTTCGACGTGCTTAACTCATACATCAGCCCGCGGAGTTTCTCGTCGGCTTTTCTCAGCGGGTCGTGATTCCGATGCGGCAATAGATGCATTTGTGAAGCCAGCTGCTTCTAGCCCAGGTCTCTGGAGGCGCTGGTGCAGCTGTTTGCAAATCTTATCCCTCCTGACCGAGCCTGTGCTGGCCCGCCTGTCTTGGTAAAACAGGAAAGGCCTCTTGTAAGTATGTAATTACCAGTAGGTAAGTAATTCTTCCTTAAAATAAAAAAGGAGCTTATCGAGAATTTCGTCATGACTTTTGGTTGGACTGGTCCGTATGGCCGTATAGCACACATTGCTGAACGCTAACGGTTCTACTAAAAGACTTATCTTTTGTTTACATAGCTAGCATTTCTGAAATTACATTGGGTAAAGCTCGAAAGTCAACTTTCATTTTTCTTTTGATCGATATCCAATTGAACTTATATAAAAAGAGCAAACCAGAACAATATTATTCTGTACTGCTTTATCTTTGCGATGGCCCGTTATCTATTCTTGATATAGGTAAAATGTGTATTGAACAAGTACATTTAGTACACAATCAACACTGTTCGCGAAACGAACTGTCAGTGTTTACGGCGGGTAATGAATGTACTTTATGAAACAAAAAAGTCTACCGAAATCGATCGATAACAGTGTTGTNGTGCAAACCAGAACAATATTATTCTGTACTGCTTTATCTTTGCGATGGCCCGTTATCTATTCTTGATATAGGTAAAATGTGTATTGAACAAGTACATTTAGTACACAATCAACACTGTTCGCGAAACGAACTGTCAGTGTTTACGGCGGGTAATGAATGTACTTTATGAAACAAAAAAGTCTACCGAAATCGATCGATAACAGTGTTGTTTTAATTTATGAAATTTGTTCTAAGGTAACTTTACTTGTTTGATTTTAAAAGTTTTTTTTTTTTATATTTTCAAATAATCGAAATCAGTAGGTAAGTATGAGGCATTATTCATTAAATTAAAAAGTATTCGTTGCTTTCGTTAAAAAATCAGTCGGAATATGCTCAGGCTTTTGTACTTTCTGCCCTTTGAACAAGTTCGACATTCGCGTAGGTCGGTCAAGTAAGTCATATCTTCGTTTAGTACCGTACTCCAAGTGTATTATGCCTAACTCTCTTGGGTAAGCAAAATTAATTGTGGATACGAGTGCGACGGACTAAAAACCAACATGTCGATTTTTCTGTAACTATTTTTGTGCTCATTACAGTTGCTAAATTTTAGTAGTTGTGAAAATCTCTGTTTATTACAGCGAGCGTTGACAAACCGAGTTCTATTTTTATTATAAATGTAGTATTATTGCCGAAAACTAAGCATCTGCTTTGTGTTCAAATTGGAGATTATTAATTAATTGAAAAAAAAAAAACTAAATTTGATACCGTGCTATCGGGCGCCATTTCCAACAAGTAGTAATCCATAAAATATATTTTAGGTACCAATGTTTTTGCATTGCACGCAATTCATAATATATTATTAATATTCTTTTTCCCATGAGTTTTTAAAGAAATTGTTACATCTTTCTTTCCAAAAAAAGTTTTTGTCATTATAACGCGATGTCGCCATCAGCGTTTTGGTGTGTTCATGAGCCTCTTGTGCTTTTATAGAAAAGACGTGCGCATGTAGGTACCTAAGTTTAAATCTTATGATTTTCAAACAAAACTCAAAGATTTCCATGTTTTACATTTTTTAGACCTCATCTTGTTCTTTTCTCTTTATCAAATTGAAGACCGTTGGTAAAGATCAATAAGTAATTAATTTATACTAAATTGCTCTAACACAAAAGCACCAAACGTTCCTCATTTGACTATGCATAAATAGTAATGAAAAAAGCACGAAGCTCTACGTGACAACGATCATCATTTTGTTCTCAGATGTGTTACATTGCTGGTCTAGCTCAGAAAATTTGTCAATATGGTTTTTCTAGAGTAGGTACTTAAATTAATCGAAGAAGTAGTTTTGCAATACAAAAATAGAATAATGTTAGGTTTATTATTAGGACAATTGCACTTGTTCAAGTGTTCGCACTTCACCCATTGCACTAATTTGCCCTAGAAGCAACATCGTTGAGATTATATTGACGAAGATACTTAAACTCTAATATTGAGCCTGGGAATTACGGAGGTTAATTTTGAAGTACCACTTGTCAGTTCGATGAAACATTATTTAACTAATTTTCAAATTATAACCGTAACTAATTTTAACGACGTACTTCAGTTTTAACCGGATTTAGTTAGCTTGTATCTGTCTATGTCTAGCTATCTAAGTAACGGCAATTTTCAAAACAATATTCACCAACTGTCGAGTAATTTGATGATTGGCACATGTATCAAGAACCGATGAGAACACATTTGAAGATTGATTATTTTATAGCTTTGGCGTATTATCTCGACCAGGATCAGCAGGATAAAAAAATGATTGATTTAATATCGTTATGTTTAAAACTGTATTTCTTATGCAGATGCAATTTCATATTTTGAGCTACTAATTACGGTTGCTTTCATTTTAAATATTTGATGCGATTTACAGGAATTTCTGCGGATAAATACAAACTAAAGCAACAAAATGAGACCTCAGAGAAAAGAAGCCGGGGCGTTTACAAAATTTAGACTACTGATGTGGAAAAATTTAATACAACAATGGAGACACCGCTTACAAACAGTTGTAGAATTATTACTGCCTGTTATAACTATGACACTTATACTAATCCTAAGGTGGCAAGTTGAACCAACAAATCGAGAAACAATCAGGTACCCAGAAATATCGTCACATAGTCTTCAATACTCGTCAATGATAATGTAAGTATAATAGGTATGTTTTATCTTATCTCCATCCAGACCATTTATCTACAAATTTTAATAAAATTAATTATTATTTATCCTAATACTTAGTTATTTATTACTTACTTAATCTTGCCATGTCTATAATGCTTTAAAACAATTAATTAGGCTAATGTGATGGTGTCAAAAAGCTACATACCTCTTTGTAAATTCTCATAGAGTCTATGAGAATTTACAAAGAGTTTACAAGTAGGTACCTATACAAGTTTTGTTTATTTGTACAGCGAAATAATCACGTTTTTCGGTTTGAAAGTTAAGATATACGAAATACAAATGAAATTGACACTCCTATGCGAAGCTATGGTATACAGGTGCTTGACCTCGTCTGCTCATCCAGATATATATAAAAAAAGAATTATGTCAGAAAATCTTGAAACCTACTGACGATTTCGAAGAAATAACAGACGCAAGTTAAGGATTTAAAAAAACAAATTTCGTTTTATAAGTTTTTTTTTTATTCAAAAAATTTATGAAACACTACGTTGCATTACTTTAACAGTTATATAATGTTTTCGTCTGAAGTAAGAGAGGAAAATAACATTAGGTATACAAAAACACAAAACGAATAATTAATTTTCACGTCTCAAAAATATCTGCCTTCTGTATTTAATTGTGAAAAAATGCTTAGATTGCTAAAAATAGGTTTTCCTTAAAGTTAGGTTGTAGTCCATTAAAATATGTATTCATTTGCGCAACCTTCAACAATTTACCTACACATTCATGTAGGTATTTAACATAACAATTGAAGTAATGCGTGTGTGAACGATTGTGTCTAACGTTCTATTGTTGGATTTGCTTTGAAAATAGTTAATGTAGTATTAACACAACTTGGAATGAATCTGTATTACGTAATATTTACACTAGAAACAATTAGTTGAAATATTTTGATAGCAATTTTAAGCTTAGTTACCAAGTTAGATTTATAACGTTTTCAGCGCAGGCCTGAACACAACAAGAATGTCAATAGCCTATTCACCGACTAGTCCCGAACTTGAAGACGTTGTGCGAAGTAGCGTCGCTAATCTGTTGCTTTTAAATATTAAGCATATAATAAATGATACACAAACAATCATGCCAGAAGTAGAGCTACCGCCCGACATAAATTGGAATGATAGTGCTATTTATGAAATTATCAAACGCATCTTGAGAGTAGATGCATATGATAATAGTAACGCTTTAAGAGGTATATACGCTCTTGAAGAAATAACACGTGAAGTTGTTCTGGCTGTGGAATTTAATGATTCGCTCTTTGGTAAGGCAGTATTTGAGAATAAAGTGGATTTTGGTATTAAAATTCATTACGAAATAAAATTCAATCAATAACGACGTTTTCAGGGGCAACGGAGTT